TGCGGGGCCCTTTTTGCACAGTCACTCGAAGCGTTGTGTTTCTCCTGTAAAATTAAATAACAATAGAGCATTACCTAGAGCAGCTGACGAGTAGGTTGTTCCCAGTGAGGCTTTGTATCCTTTTGTCAGTTGAGGAAATGCGTTTGCTACTAGCGGCAGTGTTTTGGAAGCTGTACTTTTAAGAGTGATAACTGCAGAGGAGAGTACAGTCAGTTCCCTGCAGGAACAGGGGCAAAGTGCGAATAGTTCAGTCATCTGTCAGAGCAGGTGGTTCCTGTTAAGTAGTGATTTTACTTCATTCTGCAAATGAAGATTACTAGCGGCGTTTAGAATAGGTTTTCTGCTGTAAGTCTGCTTGTAGTTCGCTTTGTCTGCTGGTGGCAAGAACTAAACGTTGCTAATGGTTTTTCTTTTCTCAGTGTCTTAGAAACCTAAAAGCACGTAATGGCAATTTCTGTGTTTGTAATGTGTTCTTGCATTTCTGCAACAACTAGTTCTGCATGAACAGTGATTTACCCTCGGTAAAATCTCAGTTCCCTTCTAGGTTAGCGGGAAGAAAGAAGCAGGCTGTAAGCACTTCTGTGCCTAATTGAATTTTGTCTCTGATGTGTACGTGTTAAGAACTATGTAATTGCATTGTGGTAGTGATTTTGTGGGGAAAAAACCCAACCAAACACTCTGAAAGGATGGCAGTTCTTGAGCTGCGGTTTGCTGTCAGTGTGGATGCGGAGGGGAGTGAGAGGTATTGTTTTCTGCATGGGTTAGATTCAGCAATCGTCTGTTTTGCAGCAGAATGTGTATCTTCTGATTGGAGTACAGCTTCGAGTAGAACTCAGGCAAGTCAATACTGACAGATGGCTGATGCTGAAGCAGGGATTCACACATAGGAGAGAAATGTAAACTACGAAGACTTAAGTACGCAGGGTTGGAATAGGAGTTTTTATAGTACAGCTAAGTATGTTGCACACTCTTTAATATGTGCGAGCACTCACTGCAAATAAACAAAAAAAAAAAAAACACCTTTCAAATTAATGTATATGTTTTTGTTTTTCAGACCCCGTCTTTTTTAGATAAAACAGCTTCTGAAAGATAAACCTGAACATGTAGGTATAAACAGGGCTAACCTGTAGATGGTGCTAAGGTATCAGCATAACTCATAAAACATTTGTAGCTAACATAGGAGTTTGAAATAAGCACCAACGTGTTTATTAGAGATACTGGGGTGGTTTTTTTGTTGTTTTTTGGGGTTTGGTTTTTTTTTTTTGTGGGGAATATGTGAGCTTGTTTGATATGTAAAGCTTCATTTCTTTATAAAATGAAATTCAGAAAATAACTGACTGTAATAACATTTCACTTTACAGTTACTTTTGAGATGGAAAAAGTTGAAAAATTTAAGCTTCAAAATATTTTTGATCTATGTTTTAATGAAGCCTTTTCATATGGCATAGTGGTGAGTGCTGGTATGGAAAGGGATCTTCAGGTGTTGATTGTAAGATGTTGTTAATTAAGTTCTTGTAGGAATTCTCATTTTGAAGTATTAAATAATAATATTAGATTCATACCCACTGGAAAAATCTAATTTTTGGGAAACTTGCCAGAAAGCAAACTTTTTGTTTTCGTGATCAGCATTTCTCTAAGTAACTGTTTGAGCTTGTCATCTCTTCCTTTTGGGGAAAAAACTCAAGAGTCTTGCTTTCTAATCATTATAAAAACAGGCATTAGATTTTCTTCTTTACAGTAAGTATTATTTCAAGGAGAGTTATTTTTCTTTTAAGTTTCAGACAAGGCCCATTGTTTCTTCTGCTTCCTGCACATCTGCAACTGACTGGACTCTTTGTTAATGTTTCAAACCAACTTAAGGAAGCCTTAAGCCTACAGCTTAGGTGATCAGTCATCCCCTTGCTATAAATGTTGTTTACATTTTCCAGCCCATTATTTGTAGCAGTTCCTGTAGAGAAAGGTATTTAGTCTGGAAAGATAAAACATGTTTATCCGAGATTCCACTTGATGGGATGTGCTATGTTTTGATACATTTTTATCACAAGATTGATTATGGAGATAGACAGTCTAATTTTCCTCTTATGAAGCACTGGTGTGTGGAAAGTGGTATAGATACTTCTGAAAGATTGTTATGCACACATAGTTCTGTTTCTTTAAAACCTTTTCTTTGCTTGCATGATATGCTTTTTGGCAGTTGTTGGATATTGTGAATGTTACTAACATTGACCAGGTTGGCTTTTAAGGTTGACTAAAACAGCAAGCAAATAAATATAATTGATTTAAGGGGGCATTGCTTTTTAAGTGAGGCTGGCAGTAGAGGTAATGAAAAAATCAAAGTATGTTTTTCACAACCTGTGTTTGAAGTGAGTTTTCTGATGGTGTCATTACAAGAATTCTGTGCAAATTCAGTAACTGCCCTTGTCTTGGCCTCATAATTACATTACTGTCAGTACAGAATTGGCATCTAAGTGAACTTTAATTCAGAGTCACAAAAATACCTGTCTTTGAAATGTGACTGTCTTTAGGAGACCAGGCACCTATAGAATCATAGAATAGTTAGGGTTGGAAAGGACCTTAAGATCATCTAGTTCCAACCTTCCTGCCATGAGCAGGGACACCACACACTAAACCGTGTCGCCCAAGGCTCTGTCCAGTCTGGCCTTGAACACCGCCAGGGTTGGAGCGTTCAGAACTTCCTTGGGCAACCTATTCCAGTGCCTCACCACCCTCACTGTAAAGAACTTCTTCCATAGATCTAATTTAACCTTCCCCTGTTTAATTTTAAAGCCATTCCCCCTTGTCCTACCACTACAGTCCCTAACGAAGAGTCCCTCCCCAGCATCCTTGTAGGCCCCCTTCAGATACTGGAAGGCTGCTATGAGGTCTCCACGCAGGCTTCTCTTCTCCAGGCTGAACAGCCCCAACTTTCTCAGCCTGTCTTCATACGGGAGGTGCTCCAGTCCTCTTATCATCCTCGTGGCCCTCCTCTGGACTTGCTCCAACAGCTCCATGTCCTTTTTATGTTGAGGACATGAGGACATTTTTATGTTAGGACTGCTAACAGTTTATTACTTCAAAACTTTAACATAGTTTGGTGCTTGATCCACAGTAGCAAACATCTGATGTTTGCTTTCACCTTGGCAGTCAATTTTGTAAAAGGAAAAAAAAATGTTACCTGTTGTCTGGTAAGGTTATTCACTTCTGCTTTGAGGCAGTGGAAGATAATCATAGAATGGTTGGAGTTGGAAAGGACCTTGAAGATCATCCGGTTCCAACCCCCTGCCATGGGCAAGGGCACCTTCCACTAGACCAGGTTGCTCCAAGCCCTGTCCAGCCTGGCCTTGAACACTGCCAGGGATGGAGCATCCACAACTTCATAATAAACATAACATAAACAACAGCATAATAAATGTCATTGTTTTGTTGTTCTGCATACTTTTTATCTTGGTGTTCCAGAATAAGTTTAAACAAAACCTCATGGATGTTCTGTTGTTTGGTTGTGGGTTTTTTTAGGTGGGTGTGAAAGTAGGTGTTCGTACAAGAGGATGCAATGGACTTTCCTACACGTTAGAATATACAAAATCAAAAGGAGACTCTGATGAAGAGGTAGTTCAAGATGGTGAGTTTCGGAACAAACTTCTGTGGTGATGGGGAAGAATAACCTATTACAGCTTTGCAAAGGTACAGGCTAGAACTTAATTGAAATAATGAGTAAGAGATTCCTCTGTATGCGAGTTGTTGTCACCTTAGTTTCTGTTTTGAAAAAAACAGTTAGTTAAAATAAGCAGCTTTGCAGTATCTACCTCAGAGGCTACTCCACCTGAATAGTTTAGTCCATTGTTCATGTCTGTGGAGGTGGCTAATAGTGGATATTTAGAGAATAATACAGAATAATGCATATATAATTTAGTACTTTATCAGCATACCTAAACCAAGGCTTGGCAAAGTAAAGGTTTTATTTGCAAGGGATTTTCCCAGCTACTTTCTCTAACTAGTCTTACTCATCACTGATTCATAATTTGTTTTTAATTTCTTTGTGCTTTTGACCTTTACATTGCTTTGTAACAACAGGTTCTATGATTTTTATTTAAGAATACTTCAAAATTTTTTTTCCTACCCTGATATTTATGTTTTCTGCCTCATAATTACATTAAGCATCACATGATAGGTCTATTGCTGAAGTTCTTATAGTGGTTTAACCCCAGTCAGCAGTGAAGCACCTCGCAGCTGCTCACTCACTCTCCCACCAAACTTTTTCAGAATGGTGAAAGTTAGAAAACTCGTGGTTTGAGATAAAGACAGCTTAACAGGTAAAGCAAAAGCCACACATGCAAGTGCAGCAAAACAAGGAATTCATTAACTACTTCCCATTGGCAGGCAGGTGTTCAGCCATCTCCAGAACAGCATGGCTACATCTCACATGATGGTGACCTGGGAAAACAAACACCATCGCTCCAAATGTCCCCCCTTCCTTCTTCTTCCCACAGCTTTTATTGCTGAGCATGACATTATATGGTGTGGGATATTCCATGGGTCAGTTGGGGTCAAATGTCTTGGCTGTGTCCCCTCCCAACTCCTTGTGCACCCCCAGCCTGCTCACGGGTGAGGTGAAAAGCAGAAAAGGCCTTGACTCTGTGTAAGCATCTGCTCAGCAGTAACTAAAACATCCCTGAAGTATCAACGCTGTTTCCAGCACAGATCCAAAAGTTAGCCCCATACTAGCTATTCTGGAGAAAATTAACTCTACCCCCGTCAAAACCAGCACAGTGCTTTGCATTTTTCCAGATTTTATAAAAGTTTCTGTCAGTGGTCTTTTTCTCAAATACAGATTATGATAAGTGTTCATTTTGGTTTCTGTTCGTTTTCTAAAGGTTCATAGAATTCCTTTTGTGGGGGACGTTTTTGGTTCTTTTAGGCATTACTGAACTATAGTATGTTCAGGAATGTTACTTTTAATTTGGTGGCAAAGTAAGAGATTTAAGTGTAAGTAGGATATCGCAATTGTTTTCTTACAGAAGCTATGCTGCTCGTCAGAGCCCATCTTCCAGCTGTCTTCATAATACCTGTGACCAACACATAGATTTTATTCTCTTAAACAGAGAATTAGTTAGAACTTCAGCAAATGGTTAAATTGCAGCAGTATAGGAGCATGAGAATGTGAACTAGAGACACCTAATTCTTCGGGTGCCTCTTGATTTCAGATTCATCTGGCTTCTGGAGTTACCTCTCGTGCTTGATTTGAAGCTGCTCTAGCTTTACAGGGCTGAAAACACATTTTTCAGAAGGCATTCTCTGGTTTGGATCTTAAGGAAACGTAAAAGCAGTTCCTGCAGTCAGGTCAGAGACCTTAAGTTCCAAAGCCAGAGGTTTGTGTGTGCTTGTGTCATTTCTGTTTTGCTTCAGTTGCTTCTAGACAGACTTCCAGTAAAGGCTCTGACTTTTATACAGGTCCCTGCTCAGTGGCGGCTTTGAATCCCAGCACAATTTTGCTTGCTTTTAGGTAGTAAGTGACAGCTTCAGGAATCAGGTCCATAAACTCTTTGATTAGGTTTAGACTTCACTGTCAGTTACTGTCCAAACCGAGCCAAAAAAAGCATAGATTCAACTCTGTTACCCAGACTTGAGTTATGTTAGTAGTATGTTTTGTCTCAGTGTCTGCTGTGATGAAACAACTTTCCAGCAGTCTCTCCTGTACCTTAATGAGGTCTTGTTGCTGTGTACTGGTACAATTTTACGTATTTATTATTTCATAGTCTGTGGACAGGTAAAGCAGTCCACCTGCACCTTTGTGCAAATTTGCAGTTTTAAAGTTCAGTAACTTTATTCCAGAGAGATACAGACTTTGAATACTTTAGGAAAGAAAGCTCCTTCTACTTCCCTAGGTGAACTGCTAGTTCTTAATCTTAAGGACTGTGGTATGTTTGAATGTTCACACATTTGCCTAATTATAAGATTTAGTATTGCTAATAGTTGATGTAGTTTTTTTGGCAGAGCAGAAAGTACTAATTTTGAGAGAGAAGCATTCAGGTTTTCAAGGTCTTTGGGCATCTTGTTGGATGCACAGACTTTAAGAATGGTAGGAAATGGGTTGCTGGCTGTAATGTATGGGAATCAAGTATCGAAGCTGAGATCTAATCCCAAGTTCTGTAGCTTTCTTTCCCTAGGTGTCATGCTTTTAAATCTCCCCTCAAAAAATACATATGTCAGTGACACATAAATACGCATAAGTAATGGTTCTAGACTGTGCTGGACTTTATCGTAGAGTAAAAACAGTGGTGAAAATGTCCCATGTTAGGCCAGGGAGATTAATTTATATTTAAATACTTCATATTTAGCTTCCATTTTTTTATCAGTGGTTTAAAGAGAGTTCCAAATATTTTTATGGTTTTTGATGTATGTAATTTTTTTTTCTTTGATGTCTTCAAGGGGTTAGAGTGTTCATTGAGAAGAAGGCACAGCTGACACTTCTAGGAACTGAAATGGACTATGTAGAAGACAAACTGTCCAGTGAGTTTGTCTTCAATAATCCAAACATCAAAGGAACATGTGGCTGTGGAGAAAGCTTTAACATCTGAAATCTCAGGACTACTTCTTTGACTTTGAACACCCCAAAACACTGCTATGGCTTTCAGAAGCAAATGCATTTTCTTCAGGTTCGTAGGCTGCGTGAAGTGTGGATACCATTAAGAAAAATAAATCCTTTTGAAAAAGTAAATTGTTTGTTAAATTCCACCACTGATGTAGTTATACTATAATTTGTGATGAGTTGGGATTCAAAAGGTAAGAACAGTAAGTGCTGTAGTAACATCTCTGTACTTTCACATGCCAAGGAAATAAAATCTGCCTGTTCTTTTCCTTTGTAATTTTCTTTGTCCACTCTACTCAGACTTCCCCATCCGAAACCTATTGGAAAGAATGTTACCTATGTGTTCTGCTTTGATGTGGGGAGGAAAAAAAACCACCACCAAAACAAAAACCCCAATCATTTATATGAGTTTTTTCATTAAAATTTAGATACACAGTCCTCAGCTTCAGAGTTCATTATGATTATGTATTTGCTTGCTTTGGTTTTGTATTTTTTTGATGCTATAATCTTTTTACATGTGGGTTTTCTGGTGGTTTATTTTCCTATAAATCTGGGGGAGGTCCAAGAAAATGTTCATGTGTTAGTATAGTGGTAGATTACCATAGTACTGCTTGTAGAAATACTTCAAAATGGACTAACCCAGTTTTACTTCTGTTTCTTTCCTTGTTGAAGACACAGTCTGTTGTACTTAGAAAGTAATTTTTCAGAACATGACATACAATAGGGCAGTGGAGTCCTAAAGCAGATACACACAGGCATGGTTTCCCATGTTTCTGTTTTTTGTCTTTCTTGACTTAAATTGAAAAGTTGGTAAAACTGCCTGCAGATATTTTTTTCTTTTTTTGAGAGGAATCTTAAATTTCTCATCGCTTTTTTGTAGGTATGTCTGCTATGAATTTTGTTGCAGTTCAAACTCTTTTGCAACTCTATAGGTACAAGGTTTTTTCTCTAAAGCTTATCATAACTTCTGTTTAATGCCTCTCAAAGTTAACATGGTGACAGGGGAAAAGGCATTTATAATTTAAAAAACCCTAGTATTTTGTAATTGTTAAATGAATCTAGACAGTAATTAAAATACTATGTTTGTAGGAGGCCATTTTTTTCTTTGGAATTCAAACTTCCTCCTAATCAGAATTTTGGTTCTGTACACCAGTGTTCTTCAAGGTTACAAAGTCTTCAGCACTTCTTCACTGGTGCTCAGGCAGAAGTATAAATGTCTCTCCAAGCCATCCCAAAAGCTAATACAAGAGACGTACTCTTCCGTCCTTTTATTTCCATGTTTCCCTGGTTGTCCAAAGATGACATTGAGCGGCTAATCTGCTGCTTGTGCTGAAGAGAAATAATGTCTTCCTGGGCAGCTGATGGGAACAGCTGGTGAAAAGGGTGCAAATCAAAAGTAGGGGACAGCAAGGACCGGGATCTTGCAGTCAAGGACCAGGTGGTCGTTGAGATGGGAGTGAACTGAGAGCATTAAGGCTGCATGTTGAAAATCCAGAGGTGACATTGATCTGCACGTTTGTCCTCACATGCCTTTCAGTCACATTGCAATAGTAACGCACTGAAGATGCAGGACTGCAGCCACATTTTTGTTCCTCCTTCTACACCTGTAAGACAGTGTAGAGGGAAGAATAAAAATGAAAAAAGTATTTCTTGATCTGTTTTATGTAGTGCACAGGAACAGAAGGTCAGAATTTCCACAATTGCAGTTCAATATTAAGTACTTGAATTTTGGTTGTATGCTGTATCACCTTTTGATGTAAAAATGCTATTTCTTTCAATGGTGAACTGATGTACACGGTTATTTTATATAGCAGTTCAGGAATTACTGGTAATACACTGTCTAGGTACATTTTTGGTGCCACAAGTCTTTGTCTTGCCAAACAAAAAATGCAGTTAATGTGATACAGCTGCATCAATATGTCTAAAACTCCAGGCAAAGGGCATTTCTTCAGATCATGTTCCTCTGCTTCTTGCTAGGGGATAACACTTGGAATGTGGTAGCAGTGGTAGGGCTTGCTATGAGTGCTAGTACTTAGTCATTTAGCTTGTTTTGGTGTGTTTTGGAGTACAGGGGATTTGCTTGGGGATTTTTAAGACCTGTGGCATGTATAGCAGTCTTCTGACGTTTTGTGTATATGCCTTGAATGAAAGTTTGCACTTTCCTACTCCAATGAAATAATCCTCTAAATAGTCACTTTACTAAGACACCTAACGCACAATGTGTTCAACTTCTGTTAAAGTGCTATTTACAGCATAAGAACATGGTTTTGATGATTGGTCTGTTATAATTTTGTGCAATACTGTATGTAGAGTTCTCAGTTGTAATAATAAATATTGCCTGCTGATAACCATGAAATATTCCTGTCTTGAATGATTTTATTTACAGGAACAAGCACTGAAGGGAGAGAGTAAGTTTATATGCTGGGGTTACAAACTTGACTTCATATTCCTCAGAAATGCCAAATATTTCAAAATATTAAAAGCTTTGGAATAGCCTAGAAACATACGGCAAAAAAACCCCAACTGTGTACAGAAAGGTATACATACTGGAAGGGTGGGCTGCTAATGTAAAAACTTCTGTTAAATTTTGTGACATACCCTTCTCAAGGTAAAAATTCTGACAGGCAAGGTGCTTACTGTGAAGGCTTCTACTTGTCGGTACGTCACCATGGTGTGTTTTAAAGCAGCATGATGATTTTGATCCAAGTAACTGTTGACACAGAAGGTTTTTAGTTGGCTAGGCAATTTCAGAGTGAGC